TGGGCATTTCAGATCTCTTTTCTTCTAAACGTACCTTCAAACGACAATGAATCGAAGCAGTAAAAAGAAGGAAGACAAAAGAAATATTAGAATGTAAGGGACAAGAAACACAAGTCATAAATTTATGATAGGAACATGAGGAAGCAGCCTGTGTTTTATTCCTTAGCCGCAAACACTCGCACAGCTTTGCGTGCCGGGTAGGAGCGCGAATCTTTAGAAAACGAAATAGCAGAATAGAAGGAGCGGTCTTAAATGTCATGCACCGGAGGACATTTTTACGATGTAATCTGTGTTTCATCCCTTAGCTGTAAACACGCACAGGCCAAGCAATGCATGTGGGAAGGAGCGGAAATCATCAGTACAGCCTCCTATCTGCCATGTTGTGAACAGTCATGTGACTAATCTGCAACAAAGATTTGCGAAGGAAACAGAGATCAGAGAGAGAGCAGACAGAGTGAGAGAGGAGAGAGGGAAGAGAAGGAAACAACATGCTGCGAATTCATGCAATACGTGTGAAAAAAACTGTGTATTCATTTAAAACGTGTGGTTACAATTAGGTAATTTGTACTAAATTCTTGGGTTTTATACAAAAAAGACCAAAATTCAGTACGAGAGGCTTTCTTGAAATAAATCGATACATACCGACATCCTTGGGACTGTTCCAGTCAACCTCATTTGCATAAATATGTTCGATGAGGTCTTCTGTTTCGGACACCAAATCCAATGTTTCTTGTTTTAGCAGTCCAAACTTCTTCAGCACATATTCGGTGCTATAATTTCTGTACGCCTCGGTTAAGTTTCGGAGGAAATCCACCAAAAAATCATTTTCCCCGCTATCCTGCTGCAACAGTTCAAATTATCAAAAACTTTACACCGCCCTAACTACCACATCTGTAAAGAAAACAATAGCGCATGAAAATGAGTGGTACCTCTTGCTGCTGGGAAGCCACAAGCCATTCATTGATAACATCAATTCCCAGTGACAATATGCGCAGTTTCATTTCACCTAAAAACAAGAAAATGTCGATTAAGTTCAATCCAAAATTGTAATGACAGTCAAAAATGGGAATTTTTGATAAAGATCTTCCAGTACAAAACTTCTAACCAATTTTGCCGTTCCCTACCAAAATTTTTATTTATTTAATTCGATTTATTACTTCGAAGTTCAATGTATCTTATCTTTCCATTCAATTTTTAGGAACTCAGTCTTCTAACATGGCACTGGTTTAAAAGGGGGAAAAGAGAAATAGCTTAATCGCCAATAGCATGAGTGCTGTTACTCCACTACGGAAGGCAGAGGAAAAAAGAAAAGTATATCTTGCTTTGAAAGGCAGATACACAGAAGATGTGCTACGAGGCTGAACCTCGAGCACAAAGACCGGTGGTGTGGTGGTAAAACATTGCGTCCGGATGTGAAGAGGAATGGTTCGGTTCTCCCCCGGTCCAGAACAATTTCCGACAGAGGGCTCCGTTCCCGGTACCCTCTCTTTTGAGCAGCCGATGGTGGATGTGAGTTCCTGGTAGTTTACCACTAAAAAAAGTGTAGAATCTACACACACACACACACACACACACACACACACA